CTTTCATTGTAAACCTCGTAAATTGCAGTATTTAGTATTAAGTATTTCTCTTCGACCGAAAGTTTCCAATTGATTAACGAGTAGAATAAAATGGTGGTAAATGGAACAAGATATGGACCATACGTTTCTCCATTAAGAAAGAGACCAATTGCAATATGAAAGATAACGTATAGAAAATAGAGGGAAGAATATATGATAAGAAATAATTGAAGAATAGGTTTTCTCCAGAGTGACAGAATGATTGGTAGCCAGCACCAATTCCAACAACAACATCTACACAAGCATTCTCTAAGTATTGTAAATGGAGCGCTAAGATAATAAACAAAAAGTATCGTAAAGATAACAAAAATACATGATAACGGGAAAACAATTCCTAAATATAAAAAGACTGAAAGAAGAGAGAATATACGAAGCATCAACGATTTGATACCCACTATAATCTGTCTTTGGTTCCTCGACGTTTGTTCACACAGACGTGCAAATTCGTTCCTCGCTCGTTTCTTCGCAGTTACCAATAATTCAGTACACTCGGAGGTTTCTGTGCTTGCTATGTATGCTTCGGATGATTCCTTTAGAACACTACCATTAACATCATTTCTATCCTGACAACATAACGTGACTTTCTCAAAGAGTTCGCACCACCAAAATTTTAGGTTGAACGGCAAAACAATCAAATCAATGACGTCTTTAACCATGAAATCACTGTGGCCTATAAGGTTCTCGTCTGGCAGAAACAAAAAAAATAATGCCCACGGACAAATCAGAAAATAAAAAAGGGCGACATCTCGAAAATTAACTATATTTCGCACAGGGAGGAGTGTCGCAATTACAAATGTTACGATCAATAGTTTCCGTACGGATAACTTTATCGGACCATGCCTCTCGATAAATAGCTTTCGCATCAAGAACGATAATGCTAGCGGACTATCTGTTATCGCATAATGTGTACTGTCTTCTTTAAACCGATTTGCATAGTCTAAAATTATAGGATAAGCAAAAAAGTAAATACAAAGCGCAGGTAGGGAAACGATTATGGCAACAGACTTAGTCACGACTGACGAATAGATTGAGCATAATGGAACGTTACTTGTTTAGTTCCAGCTTTTCTTAATTTAAGTGTTTCCATTGAACAACATTTCAATGCGAGTTTCTTGGAACGGCATAGTTCATAGTCCTGGTCATCGTACGCCTCACTAACACGATAAAGCTGTTTCAAGAAAAGATGAAAAATTAGATTTTCCGATGTTTCATTCTTGGCAGACAGCATACATCTTTCGTTTTCAGCGTACACCAGAATGTCCACATTATTAAGACCAGCAGACAATGTAACCGTTAGTATTGATAAAAGCAACGATTGAGGAGCATCTGGTTGAAGAATTAGCGAGTATAATGTACGACCGACTTGGTTTGCCCATTGAAAATCTGTCAATAGAGTCCGATTCTTACTTGTGGTATCATTCTCTGCTAGCTCAGTCCAAACATTCAGCTTAATCACATTTGTTTTGCTATCACGCATCAATTTTACGACATGCTTCAGCGATGATTCGGAAATTTCAAAATGGCAGGCATTTGAAGTGTTGCTCGAATTTGACGAAGCTCCCAATGCGATATTTTGGACTTCTAGTTTTCTAGGAAGTCCCGGGTTTTCTGTGGCAGCGACAATCTCTGTCAGGCATAAAATTAGAATTGGGAGAAACGTCAACACTTTCACAGTGGTTGGCATCTCGACACAGGGGTCCTGCAAAAATGTTAGAAAAATTTAGCTATATTAATAGATTTAGTTAGATTATATATACTGAAAGCACGGTGTCATTTGAGTACGATCATAATTAGTTCCTACACATAATCACAAAAGAATGTTTCAAGCCGATTACATTATACGAAAAAGTCTGAGGAATGCATGCATGCATTGTTTGAATGACCAAACGTCTCGACCAAAATTAGTTAAACGACACCATTTCGTTATTTGTCTACCACCTGGAGATTCCTATGATTGCACTGCAAACACAGGCATCCGTGAAAGAAAATCCTCTTCTTTACGAATGATTTCTGTGGTAACTGATCATATTTATACTTACTTATAGAATGCATATCCAATTTAAGTTCAATAGAACCGCTTCTTATCTAATCTTCGAACGATCGTAATAAAGTGTTAAATTGAATAATTTTTTGTTTCACCATTTACAAAGAATAAATTTCGGTAGAATTCAGTGTCAATATATAGATAATTGAGGTATACGAGAAATGAATATACATTTTCATATGATGACGAATCAGAAATTATCCGTTGTGCGTAGTTATAATTCATCTGAACGCTTTTCATAAGTTATATGGCTATATATATACCGATAACACTCACACTTCGCTTTCGAGACATTTCAAGAAGACCCCCATCGCTTTTATCGTTTTTTTACACACAACTACTCTCTACTCACACAACCCAAGACAAGTATTTGGAAAAAATATGATAATAGATTCAAATTGTTTGCTATACGTGCGCGTTTACGTCAAAACACAAATGAAATAAAAACGTTACTTTTTGCAATTATCATCCGCCGGTATAACATGCATTATAACATGCATAATATGAAAATATATGCCTTTAATTCAAGTTTATCATATAGTTATATAATATGATCAGTGTTCTTCGAAAATTTCTGATGACGACGGAGTTTGTTTCTCGTTGTTAACGCGACGAGGCAAATGTGATTTGTGATGTTGCCCGCGCGAATATAAATACGCGTACAAAATAAATCTATGTAACAGGGTCAGTTAGCTTCGAGAAACAGGTAAAACAAAAATATTATTTAATAACAACAGAATTGAGAGGAATTGTCAAATACCTATCATGAAAATATTTACTTGAAAACAAAATTGGTGACTTTTTCAACATAGCATCAGAGTTGGTTGTTCGTACGGCGCTTATAGCTTCATTGTATAAATTTGGAGAATTATTATGTAGCACAAAGACGTTGTTAGTGGAAATAACCGCAAGCCACGCTATATATGCTAATTAGTTTAACCACGGAGAAAAAAAGCTTTTACAAGTTCAAGGTAGCGATTAAATACATATAAAGTTTAACACGCGAACTGTAAGAAGCTTTCTTTGTGTGGTTTTGAAACAGTATAGAATTAAACTGTTCAACCCGTAAGTCATTAATTATTGTAAAATGTAGATTATTGCGAAGTCGAAACTTTACAGTTTTTACTGTCTCTTGTTATAAATTATATATTGTATTGTCAAGTTGTCTTGTTTTATTTGGAAGTTGTTTTTTGCCTTACATTTTAAATTTTTGGCAGGTCAAAGTGCTTGTGCATAAATAGGGCCTTGATAATGATAAATAATCGGCATGCTGTAATAAATACCAGAGAGGTGCTGAAATCACCTAACGCTCGCCTGCACTGTTTGTCTAGAATAAGGCTAAACTCTGTATGAAAGGTATCTGTATGAAGCACAAATTACCGATCTTTTTATTACAAATTACAAGGCTAAAATCCACGTTGGAAGGTAATATTAAGCACAAACTTCAGATATTAGTTGTGACCTCAGAATTACTGGCCAAAACTGGCCTCGGAATTACATTAGTTTTATTTGTGACCAATATTTCTTCCGTTTCTCGCAATCCGCGCACGTGATATCAACAGGTAAGTTAACGGACCAGGCAAAAGTCCCTGCTTTAAGCCGGGCGCACACACAACGATTTTACGGTAGTTGGTCCATTCAGGTTTAGACATATAGGCAGCCCTTGCCCAGACATGTTTTCCTTCTCGCGGCGCTCGCGCCTCGCGCGTGTACGCGAGTCTACTTGGTCCACTGAGCTATATAATAATTCCTATATAGCTCAGTGACTTGGTCTAATATTATGACCAAGTATAGATCGCCAGTCGCCACATTTTGATGAAAACATCCATCTACACGCGTAAAAATTGATCAGGTTGATCATGATTGTTCGATTAACAATGTCTCAACAATATTGTTATCATGATTGAACAATGTTGTTGAAGTAACAATCGTTAACAACATGTTCGAACAATATTGTTAACGATTGATGAACGAACAATACTTGTTGCAACATGTTGGAACAGGCGTCCAACATGGTCTTGATGGAACATGCTTGTTAAATGCTGTCAGAACAACTTGTTCACGACTTGTTCGTTCATCAGGCCTCAACAATATTGTTCGAACATGCGTCAACAATATTGATGAACAAACAACCTGTTTTTTATTGTTCGAACAACCGGAAACAATATCGTTGAATATTAATTCAGAGTCGGAAGGGTTGCAAAGGGATTGAAGGGAATAATTGGGAGCTTATTTTGATTAACGATGGTACGATTGGGATCAATCAGATGCGCACGCACACCAGACTTCCAAAAGACCAAAACGTGTGACAGATATTCAAAACGACAGTGCGTTTTGGTAAATATCCGAACAATTTCGTCGTTTGTCAAGAATATATATATTGATTAAAGTCGAAAACTACATGGAAGCTATTTACGATCGCATTTGCATAAACAGAAATCATTTTGTTCGTCCTATTTTTTATCAGGCCGTGAGGCCGACTTTAAAGTTGTGTCACACGTGCAATCGCAATTGTTCGAGTCGTTTGTATTGTTTTTAGGCAAGATTCATCGAAACTGTTATCCGTTCGCATTTGATCAGGTATTAAAGTTGCATGAACCATATGGTAAAACTTAGTTTTTGTGGCAAGAACTTATAATAGATGCGTGTTTCAGATATTTTCTGGTGTGAAACGGTTGGCGTTGGTACGAAAGTTCAAAGTGAAAGTACTGTAGACACATAATATATATTTTCATATAATTATTTAATATTTATAGATTGGTAAAAATGCGGTGGACTTGGATTGGTTATAAGATAATTCTGTTCAGTCAACTATACAAAAGAAAATTTATAGTAAGTATTTAATAAATAGTTTCATTTTACATTATCACAAAAGTGATTTAATTAAAAAATATTCAACACATTTAATAATTTTAGTTCATTCCTCATTTAAAATTTCACCCCATTGAGATGCAGTTGGGCCTCGGCTTCCATATGTTGTATCTTTCCATGTTTGGAAGTTAATCCAAAATTTCTCATCTTTCTTACAGTCATCTCTCCCATACTCAGCAACATAGATTCTCTGGGAAAAGGAAGGATAATATGGTAATAATTTGATCCAACTATATATATATATATATATATATATATATATATATATATATATATATATATATATATATATATATATATATATATATATATATATATATATGTATATATATATAGTCAAAAAATGAAAATTGCTCAAGATTGACTCATCATTGTCTAATCTCAAATCACTTTGTTCTCTTTAGCTTATACATGTATCATATGGTTATGAGGATAGAGATGTCTATAGTTTTTATTTTTGTTGCATATTGTGCTTATGTGAGTACATTTATTATATATGTCTTTTGATGAAGAATTGATGTGATAACTAACAAGGCTTTTCAAAATGCAGGAGTGCAAAATACATCAAATGATGATAAGCATTAATATCATACCACCAGAGCAGTTTCTCGAAGCACAGACTTCTCCAGTAAAGAGTTGAACCTCACTCCTAGAAGGCCACATATTTTCGAAGCCAACTCCTTGGTTGTGGCCTTTGCAAGGGCAGACCAGTTACCTATTCCAAGAACCTAAGGAGCCAAAGTGAGTACATTTAATTCAAATTTTCATCACTATCATTTACAATCATGATTTAAAATTTGGATTTATAAATGTATACCCTTCTTCTCTCTTCTGCTCTCCAATAGGTGAATTTTGCCTTTTCGAAGACATCCACTTTGGTCATCGCTTCAGCAACTGTAAGACCATATGGTGAGTCCTGGAACTCCATGTGCAATTGCTCCTATGTAAAAACCAAACCATTACATATACTGTTTAAAACATAAGTTAATATATTTTTCATAGTAAATGAACATAGAATTTACTAAAAGTAAATATAATACAGTTATACAGATATAGGCTTACAGTCTTGCTTTCATTTATCTTTGAAAACCGCCCAAGTTGTATATAGGCTTTTGCTAATATTTTCGTGACATTTGCCTGTTATATAAATTTTGAATTTATTGTTAAACATTAATTAATGAAGACATATGAGAAATATACAACATCATGCATTATTGATTTTCAATTATAATTTGTTTTTCGGAAAACCAATGCTTACTGCATGACTTGACTTGGCCAGGTCAAATTGCTCAGCACCAAGTTTGGAAGCCAAGTGTTTCATGGTCTTCTCTATAGAGCCCTGACGCTTTTGCACATCCTTCACAAGGTCTTTCAGTTCCCGGAGCTCTCTTAACAAGATGTCATTGGTACCCTCATTGGGGTCTTGCGTTTCATCGTCTTAAAAATACGAGATGTCAAAGTGAATGCTTATACCTCTCATACAAATAACTCTATACTGTTTATTTAGAATGATTATTTTTAATATTGCGTACCTTCGAACAAGCTTTGCGGGACGTTTCCTCGGGCATAGGGTCCTCTCGTCCTCTGGTTAAACATGACGTCGTCTGCGAGCAAGGCATTTCGGCTACAGAGTTTAAAAGGACATGTATATACAATGAAAACGAACTCCAGTTGTAAAATGAATTACACTTTTTGTCACCTGTTTGAAGGTCCAAATGTTCGTAGGTCGTTGTATTGTGCCATATCTTCTTGAAAATAGCTTGAAAACCTTGCGTTTTGAAAAAAAACTAAAGCAAATAACTTTAATTGAATATTGAAGTCTTTTGTTACTGTCAAGCGCACTGGCACGGGCTTTGTTATTGTTTTGCATATTTTTAACCAATCAGGAAGCAGCAGCTTGATAAATGAACCAATCAAAATCTTTGAAATAAGCTGTAATCACTAATTTAACGCGGCGGGAAAAGATTGCAGCAAACAATCAGTGTCGCGGGGAATTTGAATTAATCAGGGCGGACTTGGACGGGCTCAAAGCAATTAAAAATTTAGTTGATTTTACGCGTTTGTTAGCGTTACAAAATGAAAAAAAGAGCCTGCCGACATCGTTGCGACACCTGTTTCGTTAACTTTGAGTCGTGGGACAGGTTTTCCGTGCATTTAACGTCGCGAGGACATCGCATGAAAGAGCTCGCAACTTCAGAAACGCAAGATATCCAGCTGGTTTCTGAACCATTTGAGAGTTTTTATAGTGATCTTACGAACAGCCAGGACGTTTCCTACGTTCCGGACTACGATGCTTCTATGGACCTGAGGCAGCTCCGAGAGTGAGTTGAGCGACATTTTTCAGGATCTTTCAAGCGACTCCGAGGAAAGCAGCAACGACGACGAAGAAAACGAGCCTCGACAATCCGAGCACGGCCGCGGATCATCTTTTCCATTTCCGTCGGATATATTTTTTTTGTTGTATAGCTATGTGCACAACGTTTCAAGGCCAAAGGTATTTTTCTGTAATATTTTTAGAATAGTAGATTTAAACTGGAATATTTGTTTTTGCCGCCTGATAAATATCAGGTTGATGCAACATTGTTCGCTTAACAAGTTGATGACAACTTGCGACAACTTGTTGAATTTTACGCGTGTAATATGGGTTATTGAGAAGAGAGATGTCAAAATTCAAATAAGCATTATTAAATTATAAGCAGCATTATATTGCATAAGCGCCGTTTCTCAAAGCAGTTCATTTTTGAAAAATATGCAACTTTGTACCACTTTAACGTCTCTCTGAATAAAAGCAAATTTCACTTCAGCATTCAGGGCAGCTTTTGTGAGAAAGTTGATTGGTATAGTAAAAAGTCCCGTATAATTGTGCGTATATTGCTGTTACTTTTGAGGGGATGAGGAAAACTCGAATCTCTAAAAGAAGTAAAAACAAAAAGCCGGAATCTTTGCAATGTCCAGGTTTTAGTACTTCCAGCTTTCGCGATTCCATTTTAGGGTCAGGGATTATGGCTATAGCGTTATCCACTTTATAGCCATTGATAGTGCATACACAGAAATCTATATATCCCTGCGTCTAAATCTAACGCAAAAGCAATTCTTATAAAATCGACTGTATACTTTCAGTCTCGGGCAGATTTGGATTTTCTCTGGATGATATTCAAGAAACTTCAGGCAGATGTTCCTTCCCTGAACTCCGTTCTTAATTTTAAAATCGAAGAAGCCGAAGAGTTGCTACAACCGCAAAAGGTGTGCGCGCAAGTAAAATTAACCATTTTGAAAAACAATCGCATTCATGTGAGCACTTGTGGATACAATTTTTATGTAATTTCATCTTTATTTCAAGGATTATTATAACGGTAATCCATATTATTGGTTGCGGCCTTCAGATATCGTTCGACTTCAACTTGCGATACCAGCTAAAGCAAGCGCTCTTACGAGATACCCAGAAGAGACTGACACATACATTTATGAAATGCCTCAGGTTAGATTATCATCATAAAGTATATATTATGATTATATATATATATATATATATATATATATATATATATATATATATATATATATATATATATATATATATATATATATACACCCATTTGCAAAAACGTTGGCCGCAGATAGATAGATAGATAGATACTCGAAGTCTAATTAGAATTGCATATGATTACATTTGCATGGGATTTCTATAATGTTACACAACATATGCAATTCTAATTAGATTTCGGGTATCTATCTATATATCTATCTGCGGCAAACGTTTTTGCAATATATATACATATACATATATATATATATATATGTATAGGTTATCACATGAGGGGCGAAGTGATATCAGTTTTATCGCTTGAGTGACGATATCATAAATGTCACGAGTGAGCGCAGCGAACGAGGGACATTTATGATATCGTCCTGAAAGCGATAAAATTGATATCACCTCGTCTCGATTGTGATAACCTGTTTATCACATACTTCTTTTTGATCTATAAAGCAATCGACATTGACTGAAACAAACCTCGAACTGCTCGAGTCAGCCATCTTTGTTTTGACAGCGGCAAATGCAGCGGGACAAAAAGCGATATCAGTGACAAAAAGCGATATCAGTGACAAAAAGCGATATCAGTGACGATATCGTTTTTATGTCACCCTGTTATCGCCCTGATAAAGGCACAAGTATGTGATAAATATATATTATATATATATATATATATTATATATATATATATTATATATATATATATTATATATATATATATATATATATTATATATATATTATTATATATATTATATATATAACATCGGCTACATAATTATATTCTTAGTTATTATACAGTACTTTTCCTTTAAACAGGGACGCAAGTGGTTGGAAAATAATGACTTTCAAAGTTCATCAATTTCTTTGAACGGAGTGCTATATTTCCTAAAAGATATTGTGAGATTTTTGTCTAACGGAGATGTATACACAGGAAAGCTCATCAAGTTCTTCACTAAGGTAACTGCGTGATCTCAAAGGTAACTGCGTGGTCTCAAAAACGGCCTTCGGCCTCAGGCTGAAGCTATATCTATCAATAATTCAACATTTCATCTTATCTCAAGCACAGCATACTATTTAAACTGAATCTCGTGCTCATTTCATTCTTGTTCATACTCTCTCTACAGGTTGTCTCCAACGAAACGACGATGATGACGACGGTAGAATACATGCATGATGAAGGGCATGGAAGTTACTGCTTATGTCCAGACACTAATGTGACCATCCCTACTTCTAATATCCAGACTAAAGTCGATCTTCATTATTTTCAAATCAAACATAAGTATGTTAACGGACAAGCCATGGCAGTATCTGTGCAGGTGTGTGGAAGCAATCACTGTTCTGAACCTCAAATATGTTTTCCGAAATTTGATGTTTGTTCGGTACTGTAATACTGCATTTGTAATGTAATTAAACTTTACTCACATGCAGTTCCATTGTTTGAAAAAACACTTTTTACAGGAAGCCAAAGACGCCCTTCAGGTTCACATGGATAAATCACGAACAGGTGGAGAAAATCCGTCCTCTGTTGTCCCATTGCTCGTCTTCAGCGATGAAACAAGTGGGAACACTACGAAAAAGTGGAATCGGTTGGAGAGTTTCTCTATGAGCATGGCAGGCCTTACACGCAAGGAATTCCGTAAAATGGAGAATATTCATTTTCTAAGCACTTCCAAAATTGTTCCATCAGTTGCACTTGGGAAATCTATTGCCCGTGACCTAGAAGGTAGATTTAAAAGTTTAATGAAGGTACCCAAAATGTTTTGTAATGAGAAGTTCGAAAATAAGTGGTATTTTACTTTTTTTGTAGAACTAGAATGTGGTAAAATGATGTACGACGCTTTCGTCGATAGAGAAATTCTGGTGAAGTGCCCAGTATTGTGCGTATTGGCGGATAATCCACGCGCATCAGAGTTCGAACATCACTTGGGTAGCTGCGCAAACAAGTTTTGTAGAAAGTGTAATGTAAGTGTTAACTGTAGTTAAATGTGAACATGTGACGTCATAGATACCAAAAGGGTCAATCTTAAATCGAGGCACGATCACCGGAGTGAGTAAATTGATCACTGTTTGTCTTCCCACGGTGCTTTGCAGTAAATACGTGCAATTTCTTTACGTGCAACTTACACCATAGGCGACAGCGAATAATGCAACGGGCATACAAGAAATACGAACAGATCAATACGTTCAAGAAAAGATTCAAGAAATACAGAATTGTCCGTATGTTCAGTTAACAGTACATATGTACCTGCATTATGAAGACTTATTATAAGATTCAACTTGTGTTAATGTACAAAATAATTATGTACCATCGATAGATCCGAAAATCAGAAAAAAGACAAAAGAAGTGAGTATGGAGTAACGGAAAAGGGAGGAGCGTTCGATATCCTGAAGAGCTTTCGTGGAAATAAGTAAGTACGCAAATACGATATGATAAAATTAATGCCGCTTTTACGGTTCTACGTCATGTTTTATCAATGACAGCAGACTGTCTCTACATGTACAGTGTAGAGTGTCACAGAGAACTTTTGCATGTACTGTTGCAAACAAATACAGTATAATATGCGTTCTGTTTTCATTTAGCAAAACCCCTATTGAAATATTACATACCATACTTCTTGGACCTGTTAAGTATATGCTGTCCGATACGATGAAATCCTTATCCCAGGGAAGGAAGGAGCAGCTGCATGCAAAGATACAAGCACTTGACATGAGCGCATTTCCAGCCACAATACGAGGGAACATCACGAGGAACTATGGTTCGTATGTTGGAAGAGACTTCAAGTTGTGGATGCAGGTTGCTGTATTTATCCTGGAAGATATCATCCCTCATGAACAACTCTTTGTCTGGGAATTGTTGAGTGAGGTAATCATATATTGTAAACAATTAAATATTGCATTCATATATTAATTATATTGTCTAATATGAAATATCATAGATTATGTTCTGTTTTCAATGTATATTCTGACAGATATTTGCATTGGCATATTCAAGTGGGTTCGACAAAAGAAATTCAGAAGGGGCAAAGCAGTTGTTCAAGACATTTATAGATGCAGTGACAAGAATTTACCCAGAGTTTTTGAAGAAAGCAAAACTCCATCTTCTTCTTCATCTTGTTGATGATATTGAAAATCTGGGGCCTGCAAATGGATTCTCAACTGAAAGGTAAAACAAGTAGATAAATAAGGACAGTTTTAGTTACAATTAAGTGACGGCCATTTGTAATATCTACTTGGAAACTCTCATTAGGCATCTCAAAGACATACTTAGTCTAGCTAACCTTTAACACCACATTTGATTTGCTATTTTAGATTTGAAGCCTTCAACCACTTCATCCGAGGCCTGAATGTCAACAGCAACAGACATGCATCAAGCTTGGATATTTGCACAAAATTTGCAAAGTTGGAAAAGCTTCGTTTTGTTCTAAGTGGAGGAAAATGGGGAAAGCATAATGAGTGAGTAACACTGACTGATATAGTTAGTTATCATAATTTCAGTTCAGTTTTAATACTAACTTTGTATTATGTTAAAGAGCTAGATTTTCTATTATATCCTCAGATTACAAGCATCAGAATCCATTATAACTTTGGCAAAAGATCCAACCTTGCAGCAGTTTCTGAACAACACCCCAAAGAAAGAAAGTATGGGAGATAAGGATATTTACCAGCCTGGATGTCTAAGAAAAGTAAACAAATTTTCATCACAAACATATATGCAGTAGGACCATTTTCAGGTGTCCTTAAAACAAATTTCTATCATATATTCCATACATTGAATTGTTTCCTTTGTTCAAGGGAAATTATCGCAAAGGAAAGCTGATGACCCAGCCTTTAAGTGAGTGCTTGGAAGAAGCCACTGTTGAAGCTGCTGGTCTTCTCGGCCATATGAAAGCTACACCATTCAGAGCTATCATAACAGAAAAGCAGACATTAGTGAATTCAGACTCACCAATTGTATACGTGGATGATCAGCATCAGGTATACAGTATTATGCAAATATGTCATTACATTAATAGTTTATGCTGTAGTTTCACTTTTATACTGTAGTTTGCCCCTTCTCTGGACATTTGAGTCTTGAGAGTATATATAGTATGTCCTGAATGTCTTCTAATCATTCATAATTCTAAAAAAATAACACAGGAGAAAACTTAAAAACATGTCAGTGGTAAATAGTAAACAATCCAGTAATAGTTTTTTTTATCAATTAACCCCAACTATTTATGAAGAAACATACTATTCATCAAAAACTAATTCTCACATATTTCAGCATCACCTTGGTATCTTCAAAAAAGGTCTCAAGGTAGAAAACAGAGAACTGGTTGCAGTAGAGACAATCAACTTCTGCAAGGATGATGCAAACAACCAAGTCTTTGGAAGTTTTCAATGCCCAAAGGTTGAAAGAACAGGCAGTACTACAATCTTATCTCCTGACCACATAATTGACCAGGCCTGCCTCATCCACGATTGCTCTAATGGAAACTGCTCCTTCAGGGAAACAGAATCAACAGTTACTGTTGAAAGAGAAGCGGTGAAAAAAGTATTGTATAACTTTATACATAACGAAAATCACCAATACTACTTGGTGAACAAGTTTTATCTTGGAGAAACTCTCAAATATTTTAATTTTGACTAATACAATTGTTCATTATTTATAATAAACAGTAGTATCTCAAAAATATGCAAAGCTAGAAAAACTGCTTGAGACTGACAGTGCAATCAATCATATTAAAAAACTTAAGATCAATGTTTTTTAAATATTGATCTAAATGTTCTCTAAAAATACGCGATTTAGTCTCGCAACCTAATTTCTATACTTTTCCAATTTTTAAAAAAATGCCATATATTCTTGTATGGGCATATTGATTTATATTGTTCGCAGTTTAGAGTCCGAAACTAAACTTGTCAAAACCTCGAGACGAAAGTTTACATTTCGTCAGAGTAGTTTATTTAGCTTTGTTTCATATAAATAAACTTTTTGATACTCTATTCTATTTGAGGAAACTTTTGCTGTAAATAGTAAAACATAATAATCATCGTATTTACCTTTGTATTCACTTAAAAGGAACATTACAGAGATGAACAGTTATGTGCTTTCTTCGTTTCTTTTCATCGTGACATGGTCACATGGAGCTCCAGAAAATGGCGGAATATTTAATTCGAAAAGCCCCCCCCCTGGAAAATAACGAAAGAACAATGTTGTCGCAACAACATTGTTTTGAGTTGTTAAAACAGCATTGAACATGCTTGTTGAGTCATCATTGTTCGCATGTGTTGACATCCAAAATTACGGATGATATCAGGTTGATTTGGGCTGTTGCAACAACTTGTTCCGGCCTTGTTCGTTCATCAACCGTAAACAACATTGTTAGAACAAGCGTGAACAATATTGTTAACAAGCCTTGTTGACAGGGTGCAGCACAACATTGCTGCAACCTGTTTTGAACAACCGTGAACAAGTTGATATCAACTTGCATCAACCTGAGCGTTTTTAGGCGTGTAGACAATCTAGACAGGAATCGGCCGATTAAAATCGTCGTGTGTGCGCCTAGCTTTATGAAATAAACAAGATTGGATTTTTATATCTACACAAAAAAGGATTATGCATCAAACAACGAAAAGGTATGTACATAAATCTTATAGGTAGTTCAAAGGGCCCTGTCAATTTAACTGGCTTTAATAATATATTTGCATGTGTATCTACATAAATAATATGCAAATATATGTCACATGCGTTGCCATTTGCCTTTGCATTCCGAGCCTATCGGCTTTCTACTTATAAATACTTATGTGCTAAAGCTTGTAATTGCGAATTATCTGACAATATTCTTTAAACTTTAACGTTGGACTATGTTTTATATATATTCACTCCCTGAATGATTTCTCTATTAAGCGATTGAATTTTGATACGGCATGTCACAACACAATCTCATAATTTATAATTGTACATGTACAATACAAACAAATGGTAGCATACAGGTGAAAATATTTGAAAGTTTCTCATTTGGCTTAGGGTTGTACAAATACTTTCGTTAAATATGATCAGCTACAACTTTGAACTAAAAAAACAGGGCTACACAATAGCCCTGAAAATCGTAATGAGCGTGATAACTCTGGATAACTCTAATATTGACATTATCATGATGCTAATAAGCTTAACATTTGCCTTATCATTTGATAATTTTAAGCAAAGCTCTCTTATTATTGTATGAATGTGTACCAAATGGCACTGAATAGTCACAATGCATATCGATGACTTATATTTATGATGATTCCTCTGATGTAAAGCCATAATATTTAAAAAATATAGCATCTTAACATTGACCTTATCATTATGCTAATTAGCTTAACATTCACCTTATCATTTGATAATTTTGAACAAAATTCCCATTATTTTTGTGTAAATGTGTACTAAATGTCACCATATAGTCACAAGACATATCGATGAGCTATATTTATGATGAATCTTTTGATGCAAAGCCATAATAAAAAAAATATAACATCTTAACATTGACCTTATCATTATGCTAATTAGCTTAACATTCACCTTATCATTTGATCATTTTGAGCAAAACTCTCTTTATTATTGTATAAATGTGTACCAAATGGCACTAAATAGTCACAATGCATATTGATGACTTATATTGATAATGATTCCTCTGATGTAAAGCCAAAGTATAGAAAAAATATAGCATTTTAACATTGACCTTATCATTATATTTTGTTGTATAATGTTCACTCCCCCCTGGTAAATGGTTCTTTTGCAACAAATAGACTCCTTAAGTAGATAAGTTGAAAATAATGGGAAAATAAAAGTGGCATCTTAACATTCTACTTATCATGTAGTGTGGACGCGGACGGGGACGAGGACGGGGACGGGGACGGGGACGCGGACGCCAAGACTATAGCAATAGCTCTCTTGCACTAAAGTGCAGGCGAGCTAAAAATAAAAAAAATAACCCATATACTTCAAAACGTTTGGTACTAATTCTTATGGTATTCAAAAATTGTGTAAAAAATAATATGATGTGTGTTAAAATTAAGAATGCGAGAAGTCCGTATAGTTTATTCTCTGCTTTGAAAGATGATGTTTGACCGTGATGTTTAGATTTTTTACCGTGCCATTGAAATATGTTTGTTTCTTCCTAGACAAGCCAAAACACTTAGGACGATTGACTTTTTTCCTCCAAAAATATGTTGACCCCCTTTCCCCCATTCAATATTGAGTTCTAATCTATGCATAAAGCACTGCTTAAACCAGGAAGTGATTATAGCCGACGATGCAGTTGAAAATTTTTATCAACTCTTACCTTTAAAGAGCGATGTAATTATTTTCTGTTTCCAAAGATCCAGTGAAGCCTATTTCCGAATAAGCTGATTTTCGGTGGATTCCCTTTGTAGTTCTATGTCTCGCTGCCACACTGTAAATTCAAATGTTCTCAGGTCAAATTTACCCAGAACTACTTTTTGGGGTGATTTGAAACCTTTTTTCACAGTTCAAGTAACCCGCTAAATTTAGAATGTATTATATATGAATGCGCTCTGTTTTCCACTATTAGCATTTAATAAAAACTAATATAAACTATTTGCTCACACAACCGTTGCGTCATGCTTTTAGTTTTAGGAAACGGGTAACAACATAAAAGGAGCAACGCATAAATTTTGCATAATATATTGGATATTATCTAAATACCTAAAAATCAAACCAAACATTGTATTTAAAGATTATTGATCAGTAAAATTCATATGGAATAAACATAAACCGTCAGTAAGCTTAAATGTGCGATAGTATTTTTTTTCGTTTGTAACAAACATTGCGTTTATAATCACGTCTCCCATAGCAACAGCATGTTCGTTTTCTTGTTTCCCGCGGTGCAGCTGTCGCATGTCAGTGCGCGCCAATCGACTTCCGTCTACACTTTTTAACTTAAATCATCCGTTTATATATGTGCTGCGAGACATCTTTTCTATGTGTTTTTCAGCCTCGCATTGCGATATTAGTTACTGCGACAAGCAGACAATTTCAAAAAATACAAAATAAAATAGACATCTTGTGTTCTACATAATTTATATTTTTTATAATTCATAATTTATATCTTTATCGCGATAGCTATTACTTTGGATCTAACATTAGGGGGAAAATTTGCAAAATTCTAAAGGTCCGTTTATTTTGATACATCTGAACGAGCGAATTAGTTACTGATGTTCAAATAAGAGCTCTTATATCAGAGCATTCGTATATAACTTATTAATAATTCATATCTATCAGAAGAGGAAAATCGCACATAAAATCGCAGCAAAAATCGCAAGTGTAATGGGCCTCATTGCTTTGGAGCTCTTGGTAAAATATTATTCAATCCAGTGAACACACACAATATCATAATATCAGAGGGTGCATCGTTGTTGCGGAGTTTATTTACTTGGACAACCTAGCAGCTGTGGATAATAATCGGGCAACTATCGATCCTTTAGCGGGAATGGAACTTACGGTGCGCTGCTCTTGAAACTAACTGAGCTCTTTACTTAATAAAGTTCAATTTACACTTAATTTCAACTTACCCGGGCGTCGTGAAATGGATGATATTCAGAAATTGAAGACGGTGGTGAACTCTTGTTATCCCAGAGCTGTTCAAAAGCGCAATGGCAGTTCTCTGAAAACAACTTGCACTTCAGCGGATGCGAATTTGGTTTCTATGGAGACAACGCTAACGCTTCTCTAGACCAATAGGCTTCAACTTGAAATTACAATTGAATTTGATCTCAAAATGCTCCTGGAATGTGTTATACATACGACAATCCCTTATCGCCTTTGTAAAAACTGATAGGTTAAATAAAATTTCTCGCGTACAGAGAAATAAGTTATACATAATGTTAAATGAATACTAAGTGAGGGAATCTTTATAATAAATGTGCCGGGCTGCTTGATTTTCGGCTACAAACGCAACTTCAATTTCTCCGAGATTATCTGAACAACGGAGAACGCCGCCAAGCTTCGACTTTAGAGCAATGCTCTCTGGGCAATGCTACCGGCTGCCTTTTGCTCGCAGTTCTATACTGTTTTTAAACGACGTTGAAAATAATTGGTAATAAAGTGAAAGCAATGGAGCCCATGACTTAAACATCTTGAGACTGTAGGCTTCTGAATACGAGATCATAAAATATGAAAAGAAGACGAAAAGTGTAATAATGAAACAGCACTCGATCGTAGGGCAAAAACTCTCTCCCTGACCAAGTGATATAGTTTTCTTGGAATCATAGGCTCACCTTCATTGTCCAACTTGATAATAAAGGAACAAAGTCATGGGTGTAATTTGTCAAGTTCAGAAATCTTCGAGTTTTCATTTATCGCTCCCCCTCCTGGTCACCATGTGTAGTTTGAAACGGATTCGCGTTACAAATATGTTAAAGTGGCCGTTTTAAGAAGTATTTCGCTTCGACTGAAAGTGTCTAGTTGATCCTTTGGTTCGGCAGAAAGCGGGACCAAATACGGACCGTGCGTTTCTCCGTTAAGGAATAATCGGACTGAATTAAGAAAACCGAATGACGCCGAAGAATATTCTGAAAAACAAAGCAACGAGAAATACTACGACAGTATGGGATTTCCAAATATAACAAAAGATACTTTAAGGCAATGATTGGTCCTCTATTGAAAGTTTACATCCTTTAATTTAAGACTTGCCTGCAGGAATTTCTGAAATATGATACGCGAAAATTAATTGCATATTGAAAGTTAAGTGCATATTCTCTTGATTAATACATTTGTGTATTATTACCTATGAAGCAGAGCTGAATTCATTGGTCATTTTTAAAAGGCCCTGTTTTTGTAGTTGATTTTCTGTTGACTCAGTGCGAAGTTGTATGCATACAGCGCAGTGAGAAAAAAACAGTAGGACGTAAAATTATTTGGATATATTTTCTAACAATTTCAATTATTCTAGCACTTTCGTTTTTGCTTTCATATCGCCATCTGTTTCGAAGATGCATTAACGATGTATTATAAAAATCGTGATTTTTATTTAAACATGCAGAAAAAGATTATATATATATATATATATATATATATATATATATATATATATATATATATATATATATATATATATACATACATAATTGATCTCATAATTGATCTATATGAAACGGATAAAACATGCAATGAACTTGGCAATTCAACTAGTTCCATTTCTTGTCTACCCTAAATAATTGGATTCTTGTATACAAAAAAAAAATCAAACTAAATCTCAACATTCTCGGTTAAACAATTAACCAATTCAACAACAATCATGTTATTTTCGTGTTTTTTAATCTTCAGTATATGTTCAAGTATTTTCGTCGTTGCCATATTTGTGGACGCCTTCTGTGCTTTTTTATTATCGGCGTAAATTGTGTCAAAAATGAACGGTAATAAGATAGCTGCAATAGCACCGATTGCTCGAATACTACCTGAAACTCCCGATTCCATTGCCAGTAACAAGACGAGAAACAAAATCCATGCGTATATGCAAACGAAAATGACTCTTCTAAAGAAATGAAATAATAGATCCCCTAAGGGAAGAACTATTTTGCTGACTTCTTCGTAAAGTTTCCTCGATATCATTGCCTCGCCAGTTCTTTCGTCAAATTTGATGGCACGATTTTGTTCGTCAGCAGCATCAGTCTCATCGCCTACAATAGCTAGGAGAAATAAAAAATGAGATGAAATTTTCGGTAGTATGAGGATTTCCAAAAAGAGTATAAAAACTTTCGAAATTGGGGAAAGGGTGGGTTTTCAACAGGAAATGTTATAAATTCTTAATTATGAAATATTAGAATTAGTTTAGAGCATTTCTGCACGTGGCTCTTCGTCTTATATTAATAAATTCAGAGACAATTTTTAACCCTATATATATTAAAATATATATATACTAAATAGATTATCATTTTACCTGAAGGATTACTGTGTTCGTTTTCAGTCCATAAATAACTACATGAGCGTAATAGAAAATCGTTAACAGGGCGAAATGTACTTGCACAGCATGATGTTGAATAACAGGTACTAGTTTCTGGTTCTTCAGGGGGACTCGTCGTTCCGGGGTCTCTACTCCCATCAACTTCACCAAGATTAATTTCACTGCCAGGTGATACTTGGTTGTTAGAACTAGGTGTTGTTTCGTTGTTAGCTATGCCAACGCTATTCTTCTTGGCTTTCACCTTCAAACACTGATAATTAACGTTTTGAGTTGCAAACACTCCGCTTCAACCGAGAACTGCCAATTCTTCCAGAAAAAGACTATTAAGGTCAGAGAGGGAGCAAAGAAAGGATTGAAAAATTCTCCGTTTAGTAGCAAGCCGACCATTCTCCGTTTAGTAGCAAATCGACCCAAAAAGAAAGATGACCATCGTTAAAGTTAAAAGCCTTATAGGAACCGCAAGAAAATTTACCAAAAATTTGCCAAAACATGTTTTAAATTCACAAAATCCACATACACAAGTAAATGGAAAAACAAAACGGAATATGAAGTCAAATATGACGAATTTCACCAGAAAAACCATTACAAGCAACGGTGAAAACAATAAAAGGATAATTCTTCCAAGGTAAACACAAATATCTTTCCAAATCGGCAACAGGCCTCTTCTTTTGCAATGTTCGCTATCGAAGCGAAGAAGGGACATCGGAATTGTGAAACAGGAGATTAGGTTTTCTTGAAACTTTAAGTCGAAATTTTCTTTCATTTTAAACCTAATACGGTTGCATTTTTCTTCAAGACAACAAATCCGGGGAAAGTGAAAAAAACAGAAACATGCAGCCCACACAATAAAAAGCCACCGGAAATACGCTTGCTTGAAATAGTTGGCGAAATGGAACACTGTGAACGAAAGTCCTACAAAAGCTAATCGTCTGAAGAAAGTTTTACCTCTTCCACGACCTTCACAAAATATCATAGAAAAAAAAAGAAATAAGAGACATATGACTGAACGAAGATTTGTAAAACGTCATTTCTTGGTAGGTTATTATATGTTCAAGCACGAAGGGTAACGTCATTATACAGAATATAACCACCGCGGCCATTGACCCCGGACCAGCCCATTTAATTATAATAGAGGAATATTCATCACAGAATTTCAACTTTCCACCACCGGTTATTCCACAACACTTGAATCTGTAAGATTCTGCATCAAGTGGTCGGCACAATTTATAATGCTCGTCTATATTTTCATCATGAATGTAAGAGACAATTTTTTTTAAAATATGGTTAAAAACAATATCACTTCCATTTTTCCCGGATGGTAAGCAACCAATAGGGTCCTCCGTGGCTTTAACAAAAATTTTTCTAATTCCGGCTTCCAATGGATAGGTGAAAAGAGGCGAATCAAATACAGTACTTTTGGTGCGAGCGACCAAGGAAATTAAGGTACGACCAATTTCGTTCGCCCAAGACCATTTCATTTCAAGTAAATTTCGAGTCTTGTTTGCCGAGGCAAAGGTCACTGTTATTTCAATGGTGTTTATGGTGGGCGCAAGCATTGGCTTAATCAGATCTCCCATGAACTTCGATTCTTGTAAATCAACAGTGCAATTGGTATTTATATTATTTGTCGAAGTTTCATGACCATATATCGCGGTTGAACAATGCAGAAACACGATTAAACCAAAGTAGTTAAGCAAAGACATCTTTCAACGTGGTAGATTTATATCTCTCAAATTCTAGATGTTAAAAATAGTACGTCAGTCAAAATTTGTACTTGTGAATGCTTGTAATGCTAAATTTAAATACTTTCACTGTCATTTTTTACAGAAAGTTTTCGGCAAAATTAATTACTAATTGTAAGACAACAAAAACTGTGTTTATATATTATGTATTCTTGTTCATTAGAATCACTGAAAAAAACTAAAATATGCCATGCAAATACCAGGAGTAAGTTAGAAATTTCGTTTTCTTTCGCTTTTTGTCGTAAATAACAGTTTCATCATATTCGTTATCATGGCACAGGCTCATGTATGTATCGGCGAATGTCGACCCTTTTTTAATATCGGAAGTATTGATTTTTTTCTAGTATCAGCGGTCTCGAGTAGCAAGTACTTATATATTACTTTATATTGACCAAGCTCTATCGTCTCGTAACATGCCATGTTATCGCTGAGAATTTATAAAATGCAATTTCTCCGATTGTTTTGCACATCCTACCCCCAAAATTACTCAGAATTATAACTCAGAATGATAATATGTAAAATTCAGGCATTCTAAAGACAACAGAGTGCAAAAAAGCGAGAAATTACGGAATTTCTAAAGTATATGATTGGGCTATGGTTGAGTAATTTGAGATAACAAAGCAACCTATTATTTTGACTCATGTTTTGACTTATAATACAAATGCAGCTTATCACTATGTGCTGGTTTGAATATACTATTCAGATGGTTTTTCAAGCTCTATCGTTCAGTGGTATTCCGGGGTCTTTACCCCAAGTAGTTGCCGAGATATTTAGTTTCCCTTCTTCCCGACAATATTGTCTCGATTAATTATCCTCGGACAATAGTGAGTAACGATAAATGCATTCACTAAAACCAGTGCGGGTTGCGTTTTCTGGGAACCCCCGTGCAGGGGTCAGTGAGAATTCTTATCAAAGCATCAGGAAAGTGTTTTTACGATGAGAAATCCGATCACCGAACGCACTTGCTAATCTTTGATTACTTCTAGTATTAGTTTATATTGACCCATCTCTATTGTCTCGTAAAATGTTTGTTTCTGGCGGAAACGAAGTACATACTCCTTGCATACTTTCAAATATTCGCATTTAGCTACATTTTATGAGATAAACGTGCATTTATTCGTTCCATTGAGTAATGTAATGCACAAGACAAGGACTGTATACGTTTTTGGTAAGCATCCCCGATTGGGATCATGTGGTTTGCAGACGAACAAATATTTCGAAGACATAAATAAATTCGACCTCTCTCAGCATCAACGCTCACAAAATTACTCAATGAGCATAACTGAGACTGATTTCTTTTATCACTGCATGATCCATGTGAAATATATAGAGTCCTATCTTAAATCAATGGAAAGACCAAAAAATTCTAAATCAATTTTTATAGATATAATAACTTTTTAATACGTTACGATCTTAATATATGATATACCAATTTTTATAGATATAAGATATGATAGGACAAATTTTAACTGCAATACTTAGCTTATAGTAGGTTTGTAATATGCATCGAAATTTAGCATAATATTGTAATATGCATCGCAATTTAGCTTTTTAGAATAGCTATTTGATGTGTAATTTTTCAATAATAATAATAATAATAATAATAATAATAATAATAATAAATAATAATAATAATAATAATAATAATAATAATATATAGAGTCCTATCTTAAATCAATGGAAAGACCAAAGGTAAAAGACTGAAAATAAGTTCATATTCGAGTAGAAATACTGTCATTGAATCGCTATACGAGGTGATTTTAATATCCCACTCAATCAGTTTGAGTGGGAGTGAAATTTTTGAATACAGGCGTTGACTCGTCTTTCTATAATTTTCCGTTAATAACATTTTAACAACTTCCTCACCTGGATTTGTTGTGCGATATAGCCACTTGCGAGCTATAGTTTGTTGTCGAAATGTGTCAGAAATTAAACGATTAATGCGTTCACATCAACCACAGTTACTGTGCATAAACCAACCACGTGCCCACTAGGCCACTACACTTTGTTGTTGAAATGTGTCATAATTTAAACGATAAATGCATTCACTAAAATCAGTGCGGGACTGCGTTTTCTGGGAACCCCCATGCAAGGGTCCGTGTGTACCAAGAATTAATCATGTATATACATATGAATACAATGGAGCTACTGCATGACTGCGGTTCAGGAAATGGGAATAGAAAATGCCACTCTTTTTCTTAGTATCGGAAGTATTGATAATTTTCTCAGTATCAGCGATATCGAGTATATAGGAAGTACTTAGAATTAGTTTATATTGACCCATCTCTATCGTCTCGTAAAATGTTTGTTTCTGGCGGAAACGAAGTACATATTCCTTGCATACTTTGAAATATTCGCATTAAGCTACAATTTATGATATAAACGTGCCTTTATTCGTTCCATTGAGAAATGTAATGCACAAGACAAAGACTACGTTTTCGGTAAGCATTTGGTTTGCAGACGAACAAATATTTCGAAGATAGAAATAAACTCGACCTCTCTCAGCATCAACGCTCACAAAATTACTCAATGAGCATAAATGAGAATTTCTTTTATCACTAATCCATGTGAAATATATAGAGTCCTATCTTTAGTCAATGGAAAGCCCAAAGGTGGAACACTGAAAATAAGTTCATATTCGAGTAGAAATACTGTCATCGAATCGCTATACGAGGTGATTTAAATATCCCACTCAATCAGTTTGAGTGCGAGTGAGATTTTTGAATACAGGCGTTGACTCGTCTTTCTAGGTACAATTTCCATTAACTAACATTCTAACAACTTCCTCACCTTGATTTGTTGTGCGATATAACCACTTGCGCACTATAGTTTGTTGTCGAAATGTGTCAGAAATTAAACGATAAATGCATTAACATCAGCCACATGCAATTACTGTCCATAAACCAACCACTTGCGCACTACACTTCGTTGTTGAAATGTGTCAGAAATTAAACGATAAATGCATTCACTGAAACCATGCAGTGCGGGACTGTGTTTTCTGGGAACCCCCATGCAAGGGGCATCGTGTACCAAGAATTAATCATGTGTACATATATAAATACAACGGTTCAGAAAATGGGAATGGGAATAGAAAATGTCACTCTATTTCTTAGTATCGGAAGTATTGATACGTTTCTCAGTATCAGCGATATTGAGTAGGAAGTACTTATATTAGTTGTAGTTTATATTGACATATCTCTATCGTCTCGTAAAATGTTTGTTTCTGGCGGAAACGAAGTACATACTCCTTGCATACTTTCAAATATTCGCATTTAGCTACAATTTATGAGATAAACGTGCCTTGATTCGTTCCATTGAGTAATGTAATGCACAACACAAGGACTGTATACGTTTTTGGTAAGCATCCCCGATTGGGAACATGTGGTTTGTAGACGAACCAATATTTCGAGACATAAATAAATTCGACCTCTCTCAGCATCAACGCTCACAAAATTACTCAATGAGCATAACTGAGAATTTCTTTTATCATTGCATGATCCATGTGAAATATATATAGAATCCTATCTTAAGTCAATGGAAAGACCGAAAGTAAAAGACTGATATATATATATATATATATATATATATATATATATATATATATATATATATATATATATATATATATATATTTATGGTATATATATATAAATATATATATATATACAGTAGGAGGCAAAAGTTTGAGTCCAGTGACTGTATTTCATTGTTTTAGCAGCATACATTAATTTTCTACAGAAAACTTTACCGATAAGTGAACTAGAAAAAAGTAATTGAGTAAACAGAAAAATACATGCTGTACAACAACTATGAGATGTTATGATATTCATTTTACGTATGTTAATGTGCAAACATGCATTACATGGTTAATGCTTAGTATCCCTCTTTTTTTCTCTTGAAATGACGTTTATTCTTGCTGGCACAGACTCTATAGGCTTTTTAATGTCGCACGTTCAATACCTTGCCATTATTCGTTGACCACTTCCCTCAAGACATCCTGGCTGGTGGGTCTGTGCCTCGCCCTTTTCCGGTTTAAACGGTCCTACAAGTGCTCCATAGGTTTCAGATCTGGAATTTGAGGTGGAAAGCCATGAGAACGAGATCACCAGAACGAGTTTGCTTCTAAAAGATTTCTGGCACATACAAGATGTGCAGGTGCTTAGGGATTATCTGTAGTTAGACGGGCAATCATCTTTGTACCAGATGAAATTCCATGTCCTTGAAGAATTGGATGATACTTTCCCTTAATTAGGATCCTATTATATCTTTCAATATTGCCAAACCCAGCATGACCGAAGCAGCTAAAAGTTTGCTTGAGTAGGATTTAGTTTCTTCGAACCTCTCCAAGGTTTGTTGCATACCACCTTTTGAAATTCTCGATTTTTCCGCGATTTTACGAGGAATGAATCCTTCAATACTTAATGCAACTATTTTGTCCTTGTGCACCATCACTTTGCCCTTTTTCCCACCCATCTTGGGCAGTGTAAAGGAATGAGAACTTTATTTTGTTATAATTTAGATCAATAGGACCAAAACAGTGTGCAATTAATATGGTTTACACAGTACTGAAACACTAGCACACAGCAAAAAATCATTTTCTTATTTCAAGAAAAAAAAACTCATTTTAAGAAAATTTTCTTAAAATGAGTTCAAATTTTCTTGGGAGAATAATAAGAAAATTTTCTTACTTTTTTTCTTGAGAATTTTTTTCTTAAGAAAATTTTCTCAAAATAAGAAAAGTTGCACACAAATAATTTTTCAGTTTAAGAAAATTTTCTTGAAATTAGTCCAAAATTTCTTATAGAATGTTCATAATGAGAAAAATTTTCTTAAGAAATTTTTCTTAATTTAAGAAATATTTCCAAGAAAATATTTTCTTATAATAAGAAAAGTTAATTCCCAAGAAACCCTAGAAACTCTGACATGATATTTTGTTATAAGTAAGAATGTAATGTAAATTTACTAAAATATTCATGAGTCATAATATAGAATGCACAGCAGACATTAATACATGAGAATTATAGGTCCTACATGATTATTTAGAAATACAGAGAAATGATTATATATAATATTGCACCACGGCTTTGAAGGTTTTGTATTTGTCCAGTGTTTATTTGACATGTTTTTAAATATCAATTATTGCAGTGCAGATCAATTATTGCAAAAGGATTTTTGTGGTGCTTAAAATCAGATGAGACATCATCAGATAAATTTGAGAGTAAATAATTTAAAAATTGGTGTAAAGTAAATCCTAAGTTCACACTTAACTTAAAATAAAACTTTGTAATCATGTTAGGAATTGAGTACATCAAACAAAAAATACTGGTAAATGATAATTTAGCTACTCTGGGGAATTTTAAGCTATTCTTTAGCTATCGCTTGCAATACCGGCATCTTTAAGAAAAACTACTTTGAGACCATTATCAAATACACCCATCCTTCAACCCATTCTACACTGCTTTTCTACCTCCCTATGATAGTTTAAATTCCAATCAATTCACCATGAAACTGCATGTAATTAATTCAAACAATATATAGATAGAGGCCTTATCCAATGAAATCAAATGGTGTTAAATCCAAAAATTGTCCCTAACAAAATATGTATGGGTAAATGTATCTGAAGGCAAAATAGAGAGCTTTGTGATAATTTTAATGATATAGGCAGACTCTGATGCACAATTTATACCCTTTGAAACAGTTGCAACCCTACTGTGGAGAAGCACTGTTACATTTAATAAACCCTCTGGATTTAGTATCAATCTAAAAATACAACTCAACTCTAATCCTACATTTCAAACAAAGACATTAGAAACACTGCCATATGCTGCTCCTTAGTTATATATATATCACAACATTGGACTATTCTATGTTGCTCCTCTGAGGTATTCTAGGCCATAATTGCTGAGGAATTCTAAGGTATTGTTTAGCTAGCCAACTATTTGACTATATAAACAGATAATAACATGGAAAATCATAGCGATGAAGAAAGACCTAAATACAATTCTTGATCTATAATAGGGCTAACGAAGGCTGGCAAAAATAAAGGCTTATACGTTGTATATAATAACACACTCGATCAGCATGTTGGCATATGACATCATGAAACATCAACTCACCTTATGAAATACCACAAATTTCAGCCGATATAGTGTATATTTTCTCACATCCTAAACGTCCATATCTTTATCGGTAATATATAAAGTTAATAACAAGATACAAATGCCATATCCGCCATAAAGAACCATATTTCTTTAATATGCGTTAATAGCGTTATAGGTTGTTTCGTTAAGTATTCAAATTTCCCTCGTGGTCTACGCTCGAAAGGCATAATGGGATAAATGGAATAATCATGCTCTGCGTCAGGCTGGACCATACAATTATCATGCAGTATTAAACCTTTGAATGCTTTGAATTATCTCACGCTTCTGTAAATGAAAACAGCATTTTGCAAACATTATATTATGACTTTGTTCTATTTTAACAGTTCTTGACCGAATATGTCACGCCATGCTTGTAAAGTGCAAGTACGAAAAGCTTTATTGTTGACTAGGGCACTTTACTCATACTGATAATTAGCTAAATTGATAAAATCATCCAATGATCAGAACGAAAAACAATAAAATATGAACCATATAACTCTCTGAAATCAACAAACTTCAACAATGAGGAACATTTGAAACACAAGTAATTTTGAAGTTTACTCTCAGCTGAAATTCTTCAAATTTAATGCGAAGAGCATTTTCTTAGTTTAAGAATATATATTTCTTATAACAAGAAATTGATATCTCAATATTTTCTTAAGAAAACAATTTCTCATTTTAAGAAAAACATTTTCTTATGATAAGAGAGTGATATCTCTGATATTTTCTCGAGAAATAATTTTCTTATTTCAAGAAAATGTTTTCTCAAATTAAGAAGAAAAATATCTTAAGAAAATATTTTTTCAAACTAAAAAAATTATTTCTTGAAACAAGTAAATATTTTCTTAAAACAAGAAAATTCAATTTCTTAAGAAATTCATTTTTTGCTGTGCACGCATGTCTTAACTCGAATACGCTGCCAGGATTTAATACTGGAATTCTACAACGACTGGACTCAGACTTTTGCCCCCTACTGTATATATATATATATATATATATATATATATATATATATATATATATATATATATATATATATATATATATATATATATATATATATATATATATATATATATATATATATATATATATTATATATATATATTTATCACATACTTGTGCCTTTATCAGGGCGATAACAGGGTGACATAAAAACGATATCGTCACTGAGATCGCTTTTTGTCACTGATATCGCTTTTTGTCCCTGATATCGCTTTTTGTCCCGCTGCATTTGCCGCTGTCAAAACAAAGATGGCTGACTCGAGCAGTTCAAGATTTGTTGCAGTTAATGTCGATTGCTTTATAGAAGAGAAAAAGAACGACAACACTAAACGGAAAACAGAAAGCGACCTAAGATTATTTAGACAATACTTAAAACAAGTGCATGATACCGAGGAGGACTTGGAAACAATAGAACCGGAAAGATTGGATGCGTACATGGCCGAATTTTTTGTTGCTGTGCGAAAGCCAAATGGCAGACAGTATGAACCGTTGTCGCTGCGTAGTTTCTTCGCCTCCTTTTGCCGCTATTTAAAGGGAAAACGTTACCCTGAACAGTTAACAGACTCGGCTTTGTTTAATAAGTCAAGAGAAGCTCTTAAAGCCAAACAAAAAGAGCTCAAAAGCTTTGGGAAAGGAAGCAAACCAAATGCAGCCCGTTCGCTTACTGATCAAGAAGTTGATTTACTGCATGAGAGTGGTGAATTTGGTACCCACAGTGCCCGTGCACTTGTCAACATGCTTTGGTGGAATAACACTACTCAGTTTGGTTTGCGAGGTTGCCGAGAAAATCGAGATCTTTGCTGGGGAGACGTAAACCTTAGAAAGGATTCTGCTGGCGTCGAGTTTCTTGAATACACTGAGCGCCAGACAAAAACAAGATCTGGAGAGAATCCCCTGGACTTACGGAAAGTTAAACCCACCATGTGGCCATGTTCTGATCTAAAGCGTGATCCCATTGCAGCCTACAAGAAGTTTGCTGAGGAACGCCCGCCAAAAACTTGTGCCCCAGATTCTCCATTTTACCTTGGCATTGATCATAACAGAAATCCCAAATACTGGTTCACAACACAACCAATGGGCAGAAACACAATCAACAACTTGATGAAAACTATGTGTATGAATGCTGGAATAATTGATGAAGAGCACAAACTCAGTAATCACTCAGCACGTAAAACAATGGTTAAGAAATTGAAGGAAAACCAAATTCCTGATACCGATATTATACAGGTACAATATTTAATATTTTGGTGTTTTATCAGTGTACAAACAACCCAAAGTTTGAGCCCATCCATATCCCAAATTATATAAATATATAGCATTTATGTTGTTCATGCACTGAAAAACTACTAATATGTCTCTCCAATTCAAAATGATATATTACTGAGTTACTATAGTCAAAAAACTAAGTGAAGTTCTCATATTTAAGGTGACCGGTCATAATAATTTATATATATATATATATATATATATATATATATATATTAATATATATATATATATATATAGATTCTCGAGATCTAATTAGAATTGCATATGTTGTGTAATATTGTAGAAATTCCATGCAAATATAATCATATGCAATTCTAATTAGTGAAGTAATAGCTATTATATGGTTTAGTTATACAGGGTGTCCCAAAAAAAACGAAAACTATTTAAATCACCCATAACAATGTAATTGTTAGAGTTTGAATGCCTAAGCACTCTGTTGGGACCCACAAGTATATAAATGTTTGCCATAAGCATTTTTATGCATGCATATGATGCAGTAAAATTTGCTCGTACGCGAAAATGATATTCATTAATAATATTTAAATGTGCATCTCAATCACCATGACCTTCGACATGTCCCCTTTCTCTAGCAACACAAAGCATTTAGCATTTCACTGGGTTGCATTAAATCCCCACGGGTTAAAATTCGTGCACACGGCATTCAAATTTTAACAATGAGTGATTTCAATAGTTTTCGTTTTTTTTGGGACACCCGGTATAAGAAAACATTTTCCGTGTTTCAATACAGTTATACAAACACGCGTGGGAGTTTAGGAGAACGAAAAATAATCTTTGGGCTTGCTTGGTAAAAAAATGAACATCAGTTGAAAAAAAAAATTCTACGTTTCATCTAAACAACAGTTACAGTATGTTCAGGTGAAAAACGATGATGAAATGACATAATATTATGTATGCAAGTATATGTAGTGAAGTAAGTGTAATAGAGCATGTTTTGCATAAATTAGACACATCCGGAAATATGTACCCATTTTGAAAAGTAATATCTCCCGGAATTTTCCTAAAAAATACTACCATAAGTTCTTAACTTATAAAAATCTAAGCTAGTCCGTTCTTTAATTAATGAAAGTTATTTCAATTCGATAGGAAGCTAATTTGAATGAAATGGGTGTACTTTTTTGGGACACCTGGTAGAATATTAACAGGCATCTCCGCAGCGTTCAACACAATTGATCGTGAAATTCTCCAGGAGCATATAGCAAGACGTTTAGAATTTTTTTCTTCTTAACAGGCAACTTGTTAGCAAATGACGATATAATATCAAGTCATGTTGTTCATTCTAAAATTGAATGCTTCTAAAGTGCCTGGAAGAACACACGTGTGTGGCTTACAACTACAGACCTAAATTAGCACATGATGAAATAAATTGTCAAATCAGTAATAGTACTTCAGAAAAAGATGTTAAAGTTTTTGCGAAGGGAGAGTGGACACTTCACCAGGGCATGAAAACATCTTCTGTGAGTACACGAGTTGACTAAAAACGTATATAGCTACTTTTAATTTGTTTTTCGCATGCAACTGTCTAAATATTACATCTGTAAATAAAAAATTGACATTGCTATTGCTAACCATGGGTAAAAAAGAAAAGTTGACATTGTCGAAGCTGCAGCTGTGATATGGCATGTTTGCTCGGTTTTGTTTGATAAGAGCTCCCCATCACTTTTCTCGTACAGAAATATCCATGCACACATAGATAATTTCCCCTTATACATAATTAGCGCTACTGTTTCTTTCAGGTCCATAACGAGAATGGAATAAAATAGATCAGCTATATGGTTATGCATGGTTACCGATTCAATGCAGTGTAAATATAGCATTTTGTAATCCTGCATAAGTAAAGAAAACATTGCAAAATCATGCGCCTGTTCCTAAGAATTGTTCTAATATCTTTCGTCATTTTCAAAATAAATTGAAAAAAGTGATCTCAAACCTGTATATATAATTGAAGGCAACACGATGTTCGAAAATCTCGATTTAATTTTTTTAATTATATAATGTCCCTTTTTATATCTTATCGGCATAATTTAATGTAACCGACATAGGGTCTCGTTGCAGGAATGCTAGATTAATGAACTCTTCGGTGGTATTAATCAAATATTGCATGAACACTTGTTTCAGGGTTGCGAAGAGAATCTATCTCTGGGGAGAACGTTCAAAAACCTCTGTAAAGAACAAGATATCACCTTCGGTAAGATGATATAAATATTCATACTTATAGTATAGAGTATATACCAATCATATATTCATATAATATTTTGCGTATATTATTACGGCATGGTCATCACTAGCTTCAAGTATAGGCAAGCTAATCCAGGTTGTTAATTGTTATCATAATAGTATTAAATGCGAAAGGAGAAGGCAAAGAGGATATGGTAAAATTACAAAGTAGAGTACTCGAATTTCAAGAATCGTAATTTTGCAAATTAACATAACTATATAAGATGTAAAAAGTAAATGACCGCCAATATATAGTGTCATCCCCGGTTTTCTTTTCCAAATGCATGGTGTTGCGAAGCGACTCGACAGAATTTATTGCATGGAATTCATTGCTCTTTATCGAAGTCACTGAAAGAATAGATATGATTCAATGAAATTCTTTAGAATTGCCTTAGGATGAGGTCATTTTTTTATGTGAATTAATGCAGTTCCCTGAATTAGATAAAAGGCTCTTGTGATCTATTACATCAACAAATGTGACCATGTTTCTTCCCCAACTATAAAGAAATGCGAATAGAGATTTAAGTAGAATATAGAACGATTAATAATGGTAATTGCACTGAGTGGAGTGAAATTTGGTGTGAAATCAAACGAGTGATTACAAAATCCAATCACCATGATATATATTTTCTGTTTTAGACTTTTCCATTTATATTTCTTTAGGTAATTCCTGAAGTTTTCATTACTCATGAAAAGTACTTCATATATAATAGCTAGCTACAAAGAAATGTAAGAGAATAAAAATTTCACTCAAAATCTTTGAGATATCATATTCATAAATATATATCGTCATTAATAATGTACTTAAACTTAATTTATTCTGAGTCCGCAGCTGGTGGCTTAGGCCATATAGGTGTATTCGGGGCCTTAACAAATTAAATTAGTTTGTGATTTGATCGTATACCTGGACTTTTCAACAGGAAAAAGTGGTAATTTGAATTTGTTAATTTATTGTTTTAAATACGTTAGCGGTCAATATAAAATAAAAACATCTGTCGTATTTAATTTGTAATGCAATCATAACTTTTTGCATATTTTGATATTTTACCCGCGTGGGAGGTGAGTTTGGGTGAGGAGGTTCGGGTTAACCCAAGCAATGAAATTGCTTTTGCATATTTTAGTTTTTAAATGGGGTAGCAATTAAATTTCATATTTCGTATCGATCTGCGATATATAATTTACATGGAAATACAACAAGATTTTTACCCTTTTCTGGAAATTAAGTTACTCACCTATAGTCATGCAGCGTTATTGGTAAATTATTTTAATTATTAATCAGCATGAAATATAACATCACACGTCTCATACAACTTCCGAAGTTTTTTATGTTACGCCTCGACTGGTTTTTTCGCGCGAATATTTTCAATTGATTTTTTTTTGTCATTAGGAAAACAGAGTTTATATTTGTATATCGTGAAATACATTTGAGAATATTAAAGTTTTGTTTACCACAAAAGAATGCCTTTTTAAAGCTGTGCCGAATTAAAGTGTAAAACCTTCCGACTTCATTTATACACGGTGAATTCAGTCGAAAATTTAGTCTTGTTAACTTTGTTAGCCCGTAAAAAGTCCTGACCACATCCAGTTTCCCTCTACTGTAATTAAAATAATTTATAACTTTCATCACAATTTTGCGAAATTGTGAAAACAGTTATGCAATCCGTTGATAAGTCAAATTTTGGTTTCGACCAACCAAGAGCTTGGTAGTTCACACTGGCGCATGTGTATAACGTAGAAGACCGTCCATGGCGTGAGATATAAGCCAAGGTCTTCAGTTTCAAATACTAATGAAAGGGCTAAGAGAACTAAGATCAATGCATTTTGATTGTCCAAAGCTTGGAGGATATCGTTTTGAACCTTTACCAAAGCTGTTTGAGTGCTGTTGTGTTTCTTGTAACCAGACTGCAGAGATTCACTTAGATTGTTTCTCATGATGTGTTGATTTAATTGAATTGCCACAACTTTTTATAGACACAAATTTAAGGCTTGTGATCAGTCGAAAGCTGGGATATTCATCAGTGTTCATGTTATCTTTCTTCAGATTTGGTTTTAGAGCCGCACATTTTAGGTTTACAGGGAGAGAAGAAGCCTCTAGAGAGTTGTTTATTGTATTCATAATCGGCCATAACAAATCAGTCAAACTTTCCTGCACGATCTTAGAAGGAACAGGATCCAGAACACATGATTTTTAAGCTATTTATTTAATTATGACAGTCAGATCTTTAGTAGATATGGGTAGCAAGGATTCAAATTCACCACATTTCGTTGATTATGATGATTCTATGGTGTTGGTACATACTGCACTCGTGGTATGTGTTAACAAATCATTTCTGATAGCTTCAATTTTATTTTCAAACAAGTCTGAAAAATTATTTGCAAGTTGTTCAGATGAGCTACATGGTGAATATTTTCTTTCTATGACTTCTTGTTCCTGAATTTCAGGAGTATACCATGCATGAAGTATCTGGGCATAATACTTTAAGCTTACTTTTAATGGGTGCATGCGTATTCAGAATTCTGTAACGTTACCAGTGTCTTTTCATATAGGCATCAACAGAAGCAAAAGTGTTAATCGCAGCGTTGCTTTTTTGAGCTGAAGCTGATGTTCTCATATCGGCACAAAACAAATCAAAGTTTGTCGACTTGATGTTCCTGAAGCTTAGAGAATAATATGTTTAGTAAACAGTAACTTACAATTAACTGCGAATTGGTTCGAGATACCAGGATCAATTGCATTTTCGTCCGACAGAAATGTTTCATGTGATCTTTGTTTTAATATTAGATTCAACGTATGACCTTTTTATTGGTGGAACAAGCACACGATTTTTATATTCAAACGAATTAATAAAAATGTTGCACTTTTCGCTGACACATTCTTTATGTCATTAATTAAGAGGACATCTTCACTGTTATGGCTTGTGACCAGTATTTTCAGCACATTAGAGAGTTCATTAAAAAAGGTAGCTTCATTTATTCTGCTCTTCTTTGGCGTAGGAGGACGATTGACAATAATAATTCTCAGTCTTCGATACAGATTTCATAGTCAGATCCATATTATTCGAATAATTGGAACTCTCTAATGCCGGCCTCGTTCCCAGGCTCTTTAAATGAAATAAATATAGGAACACTACACGCTTTTACATAGATCAGTGGCTGAGCGAGCGCGCAAAGAGTTTTGGGGAAGACGCGGGAAAGGAAGCGCCTGGCAAAAAATGCATAAAACATGGCGGCTCACGATTTATGAGTTCACTTCACTGTTGTTTATTATTCAAAAGTGCAAAAGAGGAACTTGTTAAAATATTAATTCCGCCCGAATTTTTAAGAGCGATACACAGAAATATATGCATGGGGAAATTTTATGCACGAATGAGGAGTGTTTAGGTATCGCACTGTTAGGTATCGCACTGTCATCATTTCCAAATAAATAATTTTCAAGCGGGGCAAAAGGCGAATTCATTCGGATTTCTACATGAAGAAGAAACAAGAAAATGTACGGATAAGATATTTGATTATCGTAAAACAAAGGTATGCACCTCTAGATACATTTATTTTAACTCTTATGAAGTTCTAAAATAGATCATTTTGTATTTTTATTAGAATGTGGGAAACGACCCTTGAATATGGCCTTGATAGTATGCTTTTCTCCTCACTGGACAAATCGAGGGAAGCCATCAACAATGACTGCTTTACGTTTACATTTGAATCCTTATTATATTCCACAATTCATTCCAAATCTGGGGCAAATCTGTGCCTTCTTTTATTGCATTGGCCACTTGACAAATTATATGCTAGAATACACTAGCCACTAGGTATAATGCATTAAAAAAGAAATGTGATAAGAGGTTATATATCAAGTTGAATACATATATTACAAAATGCTTACTTACATGCAAACCTATTGGACTTGGATTCAAGTTTCAACAACATGCAGATATAGCGGATGTTTTCCTGGTCTTTTATCAAATGCTGACTAGTAGCATCAGGCTTTAGATGTCTTTGAAAAGGTGTTTTGAAAACACAAATATGTACCATAACCTGTTGGACATAACCCATGAGGTTGCATGTAAATGGCAATAACACAAAGAACACTAAATGTAATTATTGCCTAGCAATCTCTGTAACCCCCTCCTCTGTATCTCTGACAGTGTGCAACACCATACATGAATTATAATTGTAATATGGTATAATATAATTATTATATGGTGTATATATGAATTATATTTTAAATTAAATTTTAATCTCCATGAGTTGTGGTGGTTTATTGACCCAGACATCCAACTGCAAGTGAAGATAGCTTTAGTTGGCTGCTAGACTACATTTAGAGTATTCAAGCAGATATCTCCTGCTGGAGATAACTATATGAAATCGCTGGAAGTTCCTAACTAGCACACAGTCATAAACAAAAAATAGCAATTGTTGCAGGATTTTCATTCTGGTTAAAACGATCTCCTAGATTGTCGAGTTATTTTACACATTACACATTGGTATATTATGGTGAACATGTGTACAGTATTTATTGTTAAACACAGGAACATGTTGGGGCATACAAATGAAAGACATACTGTCAGGCAAATCAGTGTAAATGCCAACTTCAGGCTTGACTGGCAGAGCTGGCCCAGTTAACATGCATAAAAAGTATTTGAAATATACATACTATATCACATTTAAAAACATAAAAACATGCGCATACATATATTTTAATATCAATGGAAAATATACCAGCTTAATGTACTCAGCATATAGAATAAAATTCCAAAGCTTATACCAACTGACTTACTTTGAACATTTTGTCCCCCAAGCGACGATAAATCCAAATCATCATAACTTGAAGGTGCTATTGTAAGGATAATTTTATAATCAGAATATGATAACGGTCGATGGATATTATTATTAGCATATCTAAGAATAACACGAAAGATTCACTGACAGTCTACTCTAAAAACGTACTAAATATTATATAAAATGCAACCAAATTCTATAAAAAATATTACCGTCAAACGAGAACTTCTTTAACGATTGCTCCAGGTCATCCATATGGCCACAAACCACCAAAAACGCAAGAATGCACGAGTAAAACGCCAAAAAAATATATGCATTTTCTGCCAGGCGCTCCATTTCTCCGTCGCATCTTCCCCAAAATTCCTTGCGCGCTCGCTCCTCTTAGCCACTGATCTATGTAAAAGCCTGTAGTGTTCCTATATTTATTTTATTTAAAGCGCCTCGGAACGAGGCTGCTCTAATGCTAAAATATCCAATTTGTTAATAACTGCCCAGTCCAAACATATTTATTTGGAAGACGCATTTGGGTAAATTCAATTCCAGATGTTTACAAAACAAAAAAATGAACAAAAAAATTAACAAATCTCAAACTCAAAACATGAAAAACCAGCACATGCCTATATTTCGCAATTTATAGTTTGAATTTGAACCTCCCCGTTCGGAAACACTCGATCTCATGCAAGGGCGGATCTAGGGGTAGTCACACTGATCACGCGAGTAACGTAAAAATTTCGAACTAATTAAACGCAGTGAAATTATTATATTTTTAGATCGCAGTCCTGTTGTAAATTGGTACTGTCGCATAGTAATTTGTGCGCTCATTAAAAGATATTGGTCATATTTTGGTCTATTATCAATATTAGTAAAATCAAGTGTTTGATCACGAATCTGCTCTTATTTCTTATCCAAACCTTTTCCTTCTTGAGTTATTGAATGGAATATTTAAGTAGGTCGCCATCTTGAATGGATTCTCAAACTCATTATCTTTTCATCACGTGACCGCGTGACGTCAAGAGCAGGTGAAGGAGTACTCAAGTCAAATAATTTTTTATGGAAGCGGTCAGTGTTCTCAATACTTTTGCTCTGTTAGTGATATTTCGGCTTCTGAAATAGAAGATATACACAAAAACCAAATAGAGGAGGTACTACCCTACCCAATATTAGCCTGAACCGGGGTATACAAGCGTGACAAAGGCGACTCGGATAGCTCTGAAAGCGACATAATTTCAGACCCAGATGAGGAAGTTGACCATGCCTTCGAAGCGGAACATGCTTGGCGCCTTCAAAGCTTAGAGTGGTGTAAATGTGGCCATTGCACGCTCAAACCAAAAGCCATCGAATTTTTTTGTTGCCATGAGAAGGCACTAGAATATGACGAGTACGACAATTTGCTAAATGAAGCAGAAGCGAATGGAAAAAGATGCCTGACAGCACATGGTGATTTCCAAGCAAATATGCTTTCGGAAAGCGTGTTAGAAATAGACGTTTTCCTATACCTCGAAGATACTGGCCTCTGGATGACAGTGATTTGGATAAAATACATAAATTGTACAGACTAGTTGCATACCAACGATGTTCGCATTAGATATTCCAAATTTTTGGGAGAATTAAAGAAGAGAAGGCCGTTTACTGCGTGTGTTTACACGAAAATTCAAGAACAGTTTTCCTCACATGATTGAGTTTATACTCATTTCAAATACGCAAAAAAGTCAAAACGCTAAGTAAATGTTAGAAATATAATTTATTTATGTTACAACCCATATAATTCTATAGCCTAATTCCTTATTTAATTATCTATATTTGTTGATATTTTATTATTTTAGAAACCAGCTGGAAGATTTACAGCCTCTTCCAATGAAAAACCAACACAAATATTAATGAAATAAATACAATATTTACATAATATACATCTATAATCTATTGTACAGATAAGATTATTTTTAGCCCAAGAAGAGCCAAGCAGGCAGTAAATGTATCACCACCCTACTACGGTCAGACCAATCAACTAACTAAAAATGGACAATAATAATTATTATGTTCACTCACGATGCTTACACTTGTCTACTTTGCATTTACAATTAGTATCACACATTAGATCATCAGCCCTGCAACTACATTTTTAGTGGCACATTTTCCTTTACATACACAAGGTGTGTGATTTGGACTATGGTCTTTACTTACAGGTAAAGCTGGCTTAGAAAATCGCGACTTTCTGCTGTCCACCACTTGCTGTTTAGATGGCCCTTCCTTTCCGCCCAAGTACTTTTGCACCAGAGATTGTGGCTCGACTGGCAACACCTTCTCTGCATGAGCTTTAGTTTTCTTCAAAGTACTGTATTTGACTCTATTTTGTACAACTTGACTCATTATAAAATCTATGTATCCTGCAAAAATTATGTGGGGGTGAGTAAAAACAAAGTTTTGTTTCACATCTGTTTTTAAGATTTACGGAGTAATCTTCAGTCAGAGTAATTTTGATTTTGAAAACAGAACTGGAGGAAAACCTTGATTTTATAACATCTTATTTATATATTAGAGTTGCGGGCATTTACATTTTCTACATTTGTTATTTGTTAGTTCATTTATTATAACAATATATTTCATATTTTGCGTGGGATTATAGATAAGATGAAGAGTATTAATGATATATAGTATTAATTGACTCGATTTTAATATACAAATTAATTTTTACCATAAGCAGGCTTCTCTTTCAATGGTTTGGCAACAGCTTTTTTGCCTTTAAAAGCTTTTGGAAAAACAATTGCCCATTGAGCAGTGCCGTCAGCTTTTGTTGCTTGTTTACGCTTGCTGTTTTCGTTATAATGTAGATTTGCACAGAATAACCTAATAAAACACATAGTTCATAAAATGAGTAGGATTACAACCTGTCAAATTAGAGAACTCAAATAGGTTTCCCACCTACCGTGCACTCAATGAATTATAAGAATGATAGGTATTCTTTGAAGCAAGAAGATTATCCAGTGCATGCCTGGCCTCCAACCCTGATGTTTGATGATACTGGGACAATTTCCTGATTGCCGCAATGAGACGCGGTCTTGTCAGTACCTCTGCCAGCTTTTTGTAGGCTGCAGACCCTATAAGACACATCAATATTGATACCCTGAAAATGCATCCTTGGGGCTTTCTATCACATACAGTACAACCCTTCATCTTATGGCTAAAGTAAATATCAGTAACAAAAATATATAAACAGCAAACCTGGTTGAAGCCAGGCTCTTTCAATCACATCATGTTCACATTCCATGAAGATCACATGCCCTTCATGTTCATGTATGTTGGCAATGTGATTGATGATACTGCGCTATTTCTCCTCTCGCTCATCAGCAGTTTCACTGGAGTTCCAAACCTAGTAGATGTGGTTATAATTGACTATAATTATAAGTAAAAGTAATGAAATTATGAGTTTACATAATAGGGTTACCTCAGACTGCTGGGTCGTAACTACCTTAACACATTGGTGGCATTTGGACAATAATAATCACATACATGTGCTGTACTTTGGTTGTAACTTTGTGTAATCCTGTATATTTTAGGAGAATCATGAAGGGCATAGCTTGGTTAGGAAATGATCCAGCTTGTTGCTATAAGTATTTGTTTGCCAAAACATGGTGAATCACTATCTTTTTAATCATTGGGCTGGGCCCCAATGGTGGAATTTTTACAACCCCTATAATTATGTATTTTGAGCAAAAAGGCGGAACAACCAAAATACATGCACAGATAGAAAGCATAAGTTACTCACATGAATGTATGGCCCAATCGATTTTGAATTTTCTTTTCTTTGCAAGCTTTGTCAATCTTTTCTTAATTCTCTCTTATGGTTTTCTTATTAATATAAGAGTGTATTATACCACAACCTATTTTGACACTACCTAAACTGTTTCACATGCCATAATGTAACTCAAAGATCATGAGCAATAATTGCTCCTTGCCTGATTTCCCCTCTGATAATGCTATAATTATGGTTCTATATTTTATTTATTTTTTGCTACATCATGCCACACATTATATAAAAAATTTATACGCAAGTTATAAATTTGCGGTTAATGGAGTAATATGTTCTAGAAGGTCCTATTTCACCCTACATATGGACCATCTCTGGCCTAGCTGTCATAGTTATCGCATGCACTAATTTTAGCCCGGGCAAGGTCAAGGCCTCAATAGAACAAGGCAGTCTTTACCAGGCATGTTAATAGTTATAAAGTCCAAAATCTGAACGAACTCTGGCATCTTAGCATGTGAACAACGTATGCAAACTTGTGTTACGGCCAATCGAATCTCCCCTGACGGTCTTTCCCTTCACGTGGACTTGAACAATGGCCCCCTTTTTTCTGCAAGGATCTTGCCTGCTCCCCATGCATGCATTGGTCATTCGCAAGACCTCAGCCAATGCGTCCACAACGCCGGTCAAATATTTAAAGGTCTCTATCGAAAGGCAGTAATACATATATCTGCGTTTCAAAAGTAACTATAAACAAAAACTACAAAAATAAGTGCTGCTCCGGCAGCACATATACTAAAATTGGAACGATACAGAGAAGATTAGCATGGCCCCTGCGCAAAAGATGGGGCGCAATGTTCTCTGTCAGGGATAACCCGCAAGATGCAGGAAAAGGGCTTTTCCTTGACAACGGGGAATTCCCCCAAAAAGCGGGAAATTTGAATATAATGGTCGAGGTACTCCAGCTGTTGGGCTCCTGGATCCATCTCTTCATCGTCGTTCGTTGCATTTTCCAGCACTTTTCCAGTCTGACCGAACAGATACTCCACGCCAATTAGCTCACCAGTGTATACGCCTACCTCCGTTTCATTCTTAATTTTTTTTCCGAAAAGGGAAACACTCAAATTGTTGGCGGCTTTCAACAGCGATCCGGTATAGGAGTCGGGACCAGGGGTGTCACCAGAGACAGCAGCACTTTTCACTCGATCCGCATTCCACCTTGCCAAACCTTCCAAAAGGTAGGCTTGGAAATGCAGAGCACTTGCACTGGTACCTGAAGAAATAAAAATCATGAAATGAACTCGCCGTAGAGTTGGTGTGACTCTGTGGTGCAACAGGTGGCGAAACGTCTCATGAAATGCCAAATATCGAGGCGCACGATCAGGTCGTTCCAATGGTAAAACAGCTCATGTACCTTGACACCACTGCCACCACAGCAATCCCTGTCAACATACAGAGCAACAGGAGGAGGAACATCGGCAACGGAATACCTTCTCATCAGCCCTTTTGCCATCTCAGCCAAGCCAACGCCTTCGATCGCAGTCAAGACACTCATCAGTACTTCACCCCTCTCGTTGCCAACGTTCGTCACCCACGAAGCTGTGCTCGAACTGTGACCAGCCAATTTCTTCACAATTTTCTTGGTAGAATCCATTTTCAAAATGGTACCGAAGGTGGAAGTGATGGAAGCTTTGATGTGATCCACCCTGTTCATGATGTCCTGCACATAAACAGTCAGGAACCACTTATATTTAGGCACATCGATGAACTTAGGTGGCTCTTCAAAGCTATGGGCTACGACAAGTTGACTCTTCATGGCTTTTCGAAAATAATTGCACTCTGTCATGTACTGGGTGGATTTCACAAGGTACCTCTCGCTATGCTGCTCTGAAATCTTCTTCTGCAACACGGTGGAACTGTTGCCAAGTGTTCTTTGTCGCAACATCCTGATGACTTTAACATCGCAGGCATATTGATAGGTAATAAGGACAGGAAACTGCAGTCGATGACCAGGGTCTAGCTGTTGCACAAGTGCAGGACTCCAACTGATCACCTTCTTCTTGCAAGACCGGCACTCTAGGTACTCTGATGCCAAGTTGTATCTTTCATCCACATCCAAGACTTGACGAACCCTTGGATATATCCCAGCACTCGTCAGCTCTTTCTTCTCACAACCAGGATGTGGACAACACAGCTTTACCTTCCACAGCTTCCTAGGCATCCAAAGCAACAGGCGTTGGGCAAAATACTTACTCGGAAGAGGTGGTTGGTTTGCAATAAGGGGAGGTTGGGGTGGATACCACCACAGTTTGTTCACTCTAAAATATATAAAAAATAATATAAAATAATAAATATATTTTCTTGGTGAACTACATAACCTGAGCATGTCTTGTTACCTGCTGAAATCTAGTTCAGCTTTACCAGTTTTTGCACTTTTCTTGAACAGTGCCTGTGACACCCACATGTGGTCTGCTTTTGGGAGAGTTTTCACCCATCCATCAGGCAAAAACACTGAAAAATATTATTTGAAATTATTTCCCATATACACTGAATGATAATAGTATGATAAGTTACATGTTGAAATGAGTAAGTGCCTTAAAATACCTCCAGTGCTACTACTTTCTTGCAAATTACTGCTTCTGCTTTGCACCTCTGTTCTCTCTACTAACACATTCACAGAAATATATTTATGCAATGATTAACATACATAGATTATTAAGGGAAGATGCACTGTACGTCATTCAGGCTTTTCGAATTACCACACAGAATATATATGAATATCATACTATTTATATTAACACCAACTACCTTGAGTGCAGGTTGATCCACTAGTCTTTGAAGTTGCGATGCTCCCACTATAAGTTTCCTCTAGCAACACAATATAACCACAACATTATTATTAAAAATATTTAACGCAGGAACGAACAACAATAACATTTTAATACAAGTGTCCTATATAAAGTTATAAAATTTCACATGAAAGATTTCACATTTTGGTTTGACCCCACCAGGATTTGAACCTGGAAATCTCAGTGAGATGCCCGCCTTTGGGCTATAGGATCATTTTCATCACTTGTAAGTGAACTCCATAAAATGCCAACTTACCAATACTTTCGACCATTTTACATAGTTCCTCATCACCAA